CTTTCTAATTGTTTGTTTGTTTAAAGAAAAGGATAAGAAAGCTGTGACAGTCGTGTTGAAGCTGCCAAGCGTTGCGTACTACTCTTTATACCGGAAAGTTGCAGCTGCCAATCGCTTCTAAGTGGATAAGCCTCAAGATTCAAGCTGCTGGACAAACATGTCTGAGCAGTCTTGATTCCCATTTACCTCAAGGTGGCTATAAAGTCACGCAAATCAAGATTCCAGATTCAAGGTTCAGAAGAAGATGTCCTGATAATATTGAATCTCAAAGCACTGAAACATGCAGTCTTCTTCCACCTGAGGGTAGCATATCCATATATATATATATATAATCATATATACATATATACACATGTACATATGTACATATGTGTGTATCTTAATATAAGTACATCATGTGTGAAAACTACGGAGACCCAGAAACGGGCCTTGGCGCTTCCGTCATTTCTTTTCCCCTCCGAAGGCACAAAATTAATCCTCGGGCGCCGGGCGGCACCGGGGATTTTGGAGCCTTCCTGAGACTGCGAAACCGCGCTCCGCGCTCCGATCCGGTCCGATGGATCGGGTCAGATTGGCTGTGGGTCAAAAAACCGGTACCCCAAATGGAACCTGGTAAATGGAAGCTTGCACTACAACCTGCGGCCCAATTCCTGGTGGTTTAATTTGGACCCATAGTCAGATGGGGTCCGCCGCTTCTTTTTGGAGGGAAACCACCCGGTTTGGAGTTGTTTTTGAGATGGGCGGTTGAGTACCAGGCTTTGCTGGCTCCGGCAATTGAACGTCGCAACCGCCTAAAAACTCGTCCAGCTGCAAATACCTGCAAGCACTTTGACCCCTTTACTTGCCAGCTCGATAGGCAGGGAATGAGCTTCAATGACCCTTATAAACCATCCCTATGGCTTCCTTTGAGGAAATCCCTGGGCTCATTCCAAAAACCCTGCTTAGGACCCTCTAAGGCAAGCCACCGCTTGACGTCGGGTTTCGTCCCAAAGGTTTTCCCTGCCAAAGATGCCAAATTCTGTAGGCCTCTGGAGTTGTAATTAGACGCAGCCGGTGCGGCTCCTTGTTTTGAGGGCACCCTTTTCTTTTGGCAGAGGGGGGCGGCTTGAAAGGGAAACCAAAGGGAAACCACCCAGCTTCAGGTACCCCTACTTCCAGACGAGCATGTTTATATTGGCAGTGCATGGGGAATTTTCAACGGGGCTCGCATATCCAAAACGGTCACACGTCTCCAAAAGCAAAAGGTCGGAAGACATGTCACGGTGTCACGGTAAACGTGTGGAGTGCAGGAAGGCGCTGGAAGGCTTGCCAATCGCGAAAGCAAAAAGCCCTGAGACCATGTTTCAATGCGGGGCCACTAGGTGGCGTGACCTTCCCATCTTGCGTGTATCCTTTTTGAGGGTTTCAAAGAGAAAGCCAAAGGGCAACCACCATTTTGTGGGTACCCCCAAAGAAGGACACACGGGGTCAATCCCTCTACGAGTTTTTCGAACTTTGGCCACGGTGCGAGGCCGCCTTGGAACCTGCGCGATGCAAAAGGTACAAGGGTCGAAGGTTGAGGCAAGGTTGGTGAAGGTGGGGAAAGGTTGGTGAAGGTGGGTAAAGGTTGGTGAAGGTGGGTAAAGGTTGCAGAAGGTGGGTAAAGGTTGGCGAAGGTGGGGAAAGGTTGGTGAAGGTGGGGAAAGGTTGGTGAAGGTGGGTAAAGGTTGCAGAAGGTGGGTAAAGGTTGGCGAAGGTGGGGAAAGGTTGGTGAAGGTGGGGAAAGGTTGGTGAAGGTTGGTGAAGGCTGGTGAGGCTAGTGCAGGCTGGCGCAGTCTGGTGCAGGCTGGTGAGGCTGGTGAAGGCTGGTGCAGGCTGGTGCAGGCTGGTGATGGTGGCAAAGGTTGACGAAGGTTGTGTAAAGGTTGGTGAATGTTGGCAAAAGATAGTAAAGCTGAAAAAGATTGATGCAGGTGGGCACATGTTGAAGAGGGCTGAAAAGGGCTGCAAGGTGGGCAAAGGTTGATGAAGTTTGGCCAAGGTCGATAAAGCTTGGCAAGGTTCTTAAAGGTTAGCCAAGGTTGGCAGGTTGGTGAAAGCTTGGACAAGTTTGGAAAATTGCGCAAAGTTTGAAGGCTTGGTATACATTGTGGTAAAGTTTGACGGTTGGACAAGGTTGGCTTGGTGAAGCAAGCGCAGCTTGCGAGCGGTTTTTTTTTTTTTTTTTTTTTTTTTTTTTTTTTTTTTTTCGGGCAAAGGTTTGCGGCAACGGCGGATGAAGAGGTGAGGCTTTGTGTCTGGGATCTGGGACTTGCATCCTACAAGCTCACTTTTTGGGGTCATTTGAATTGCAGGTGGGAAAGGCGCACCCTTGCGGCCACAGAAGGCAAGCACTCTGAAACTTCGGAATGCAAGCTGCTTCCTGCCTGCCACCTCCGCGTCCTGCGGTGTCAACAAAACCGCTCCGAGTTCCCGCCCATGTGGCCGGAGAACGGGGGGTCCGGTTGTTGGGAAGGAACCGGTTTTGGGGATTCCCTTGCATGAGACCATGGAAAAAGGATGGTTTGCAAACTTCATTCCAATTCCCTGCCTATCTTGCCCCAGCAGTGATGCAAATATCCTGGTCTTCAAGGAGTCGAGCGGCCCAGCCCATTTTGCCCAGCCCCTTTTTAACAAAAAAGCCGCTGAAGGGACGCATCACTCCGGTCAGTCAGGGCACATCTTTGAAAGGCGACCTCCAAGGAACCGGAGAAGGGGCACATTTCGGGAGAAAAAAAAGGCCAAAACCGCCAGAAGGGAAGCAAACCAAAACTGCGACACGTCACCAAGCACAAATGCCTCATTGACCAGCAGGGCTATAGGACAAATCCATCAATCACCTTTTACAGGATCCTCCAAACCAGCAGGTAAAGATGATTTGTTCTTCTTGACTGGTCCATATGGACCCGGACGCAGGTTTTTTGTACGTTCTAAACTTTCTAAACCCACCGGGACGGCGGGTCCTGCAGCTCGAGCGCCTTCTGAGGGCCTGAGCGAGCGGATCGTCTTGGTGCGACAGTCTTGGGGAATGAGACATGGCTCCTCTTCTTTGGGTCCAAACAATGGGATCCCATTTTTGGGTGGCTGCACCACTCAGTTTAGTTTATTTTAGCGGGGATTGGGATGTTCACTGGGGGCACAATTTGGGTTTTCACCCATGGCCACATTGGCATCCCTTTGCAGACGCTCAGCTCTACTTGGCATCCGTTTCTTGCCGGTGCGATAAACAAATGAGGGAGAAAGAGAATGAACACGAGAAAAAAACAGCATCCAACTGGTGGTGTCCTCGGGAATCCCCAAAACCGGTCCATTCCCACATTCCCTATCGCAGCAAGAAAAGGAAACCAAGCGACATGCAAATACAACCATCGATAATCATGTCCTTCAAACAGCTTTGCGCGCCTTCTTTTCTTGGTGCAAGAGAGCAACCAATTGGAGTGGTCTTGAATCTTTCGACAGGGCCAGGCCACGCTAACCTGCAAGCTTTACTATAATCCCAAAAGCTGAACTAAGGGAAGTAAAGGACCTTTACCATACCTCGTTTTACCCTCGGAATCGGTGAGCTCGCCAAAATATGCTCATGTCCAATCAACAAGGCCTGAGACTGGCCAAAGCTTTGAGATCCACCGCGAACGGCCACATCCTCCCTCTGCGCCAAGCCAAGAACCCCAGCCAACTGCTTATGCGTCTGTCCTGTATGTTAAAAAAAAGGACGACCCGGCTTGAGTCATCACCGCCCCTCGGCTCTGGGGCCGGCACCAACCTGTCGTGGAATGGACTGCCTCAGTGCGCAAAGGCGCCGGAGCGAAAGCTGGTCACAGTCAAACGGTTTTTGATTTTTTTTGGAGGGGCGGGGGAGGGGGCTTGGAGGCTTTTCAGGACAAGTTCCCGGCTTCAACTCCCTGGCCCGGCCAAGAAACAAAAATGGTGTGCGGCCACCCCCCCCCACCCCCGGCCAAAAAAAAACAACAGAGAAGAAAAAAGGGGCCGCCTTCGCCAGAACCTGGAGTGTGGCTCACAAACATCCGAGCATGATGCGATGGGGTGCTTGCAACATCCGGAAATCGTACCAGCTGAGAAAACATGGGAAGCAAGCCAGAAACTGGCTTGAAATTTTACGTCTGTCAGGTATGGCCCCAGGATTATACCTGCTACTGCGGATATAATTTCCCCCCCCCCTCGGAGGCAAAACCATGTCATGTTGACCCCGCAACCTCAACCGCAACGAAGCCTGAGCGCGCGGCTCCTCTCGGCGCAGGCGAGTCTCGCCTGGCAAACCTGCCACCTCCGCGTCCTGCGATGTCAACAAAACCGCTCCGAGTTCCCGCCCATGTGGCCGGAGAACGGGGGGTCCGGTTGTTGGGAAGGAACCGGTTTTGGGGATTCCCTTGCATGAGACCATGGAAAAAGGATGGTTTGCAAACTTCATTCCAATTCCCTGCCTATCTTGCCCCAGCAGTGATGCAAATATCCTGGTCTTCAAGGAGTCGAGCGGCCCAGCCCATTTTGCCCAGCCCCTTTTTAACAAAAAAGCCGCCGAAGGGACGCATCACTCCGGTCAGTCAGGGCACATCTTTGTGCCATGGGCTTGAAAGGCGACCTCCAAGGAACCGGAGAAGGGGCACATTTCGGGAAAAAAAAGGCCAAAACCGCCAGAAGGGAAGCAAACCAAAACTGCGACACGTCACCAAGCACAAATGCCTCATTGACCAGCAGGGCTATAGGACAAATCCATCAATCACCTTTTACAGGATCCTCCAAACCAGCAGGTAAAGATGATTTGTTCTTCTTGACTGGTCCATATGGACCCGGACGCAGGTTTTTTGTACGTTCTAAACTTTCTAAACCCACCGGGACGGCGGGTCCTGCAGCTCGAGCGCCTTCTGAGGGCCTGAGCGAGCGGATCGTCTTGGTGCGACAGGCTCGGGGAATGAGACATGGCTCCTCTTCTTTGGGTCAAAACAATGGGATCCCATTTTTGGGTGGCTGCACCACTCAGTTTAGTTTATTTTAGCGGGGATTGGGATGTTCACTGGGGGCACAATTTGGGTTTTCACCCATGGCCACATTGGCATCCCTTTGCAGACGCTCAGCTCTACTTGGCATCCGTTTCTTGCCGGTGCGATAAACAAATGAGGGAGAAAGAGAATGAACACGAGAAAAAAACAGCATCCAACTGGTGGTGTCCTCGGGAATCCCCAAAACCGGTCCATTCCCACATTCCCTATCGCAGCAAGAAAAGGAAACCAAGCGACATGCAAATACAACCATCGATAATCATGTCCTTTAAACAGCTTTGCGCGCCTTCTTTTCTTGGTGCAAGAGAGCAACCAATTGGAGTGGTCTTGAATCTTTCGACAGGGCCAGGCCACGCTAACCTGCAAGCTTTACTATAATCCCAAAAGCTGAACTAAGGGAAGTAAAGGACCTTTACCATACCTCGTTTTACCCTCGGAATCGGTGAGCTCGCCAAAATATGCTCATGTCCAATCAACAAGGCCTGAGACTGGCCAAAGCTTTGAGATCCACCGCGAACGGCCACATCCTCCCTCTGCGCCAAGCCAAGAACCCCAGCCAACTGCTTATGCGTCTGTCCTGTATGTTAAAAAAAAGGACGACCCGGCTTGAGTCATCACCGCCCCTCGGCTCTGGGGCCGGCACCAACCTGTCTTGGCATGGATTGCCTCAGTGCGCAAAGGCGCCGGAGCGAAAGCTAGTCACAGTCAAACGTTTTGTTTTTTTTTGGAGGGGCGGGAGAGGGGGCTTGGAGGCTTTTCAGGACAAGTTCCCGGCTTCAACTCCCTGCGGCCAAAAAAAACAACACAGAAGAAAAAAGGGGCCGCCTTCGCCAGAACCTGGAGTGTGGCTCACAAACATCCGAGCATGATGCGATGGGGTGCTTGCGACAGCCGGAAATCGTACCAGCTGAGAAAACATGGGAAGGAAGCCAGAAACTGGCTTGAAATTTTACGTCTGTCAGGTATGGCCCCAGAATTATACCTGCTACTGCGGATATAATTTCCCCCCCCCCCTCGGAGGCAAAACCATGTCATGTTGACCCCGCAACCTCAACCGCAACGAAGCCTGAGCGCGCGGCTCCTCTCGGCGCAGGCGAGTCTCGCCTGGCAAACTCGGGATGAGTCTCAAGTCTCCCTGGTGTAGGAGGGATGCAAGTAAACCAAACACAAACCATGGGAATTTACAGGGTTTCCCTTGTTCCCTACTTGCAATAATCAGGGCATCCACCGTAGGTAGGGATTTGAGGGAATGAACCGTTTGGGGGGTCCCCGAATGAAGGAAACCACCAGTTGGATGGTTCGCAAGGGCTCCCTGCTGAGGATGCATGTGAGCCACTGTTGGATTTTGAAGGGAGTCGAGTTCATAATAAGGGCGGTGAAGAAGTGGTTGTGATGAATTATAGCCTTGAACAATGAAGACACCTGCCACTATTAGACTGTTCTGCATAATGTTTGAATGATTTCATCACATATCGATGAAAGATTTCAACGCCATTCTTCAATCTCAATTTTCGTAGTTTCCCCCTCCCCCCCCCCTCCAAAAAAGAAAACAGAAAACGGGCGGTATCCCCAACAGCCGGGGGGGGGGGGGGGGGGGCGAAACTACGAGAAGCTGGGTGCGCGGGGCTTGCCTGGCAGCGCGCCGGGCTCCGCCCCCTCGAGGTCTTCCTGAACTTTGCGTCTCACCGTACCAAAAAGCTCGGTGCTTCTCATGAGGCCATGGGTCAAACGCCGGTACCCCCAGTGAACATCCCAATCCCAACTAAAATAGACTAAAATGGGTGGTGCACCTACCCCCCAATATGGTACCATTGATCTTGACCCACAGCCATGTGGCTTTAAAAGGAAAGCCAAGGAAGTCAAAGACTTGGCAGTCCCCTTCTTGGCATGGTCTTGAAAAAAAACAGTCCCCTTCTTGGCATGGTCTTCAAAAAAAATAACGCTTCTTGGAATGGTCTTGAAAAGCAAACAGTCCCCTTCTTGGGATGGTCTTGAAAAAGAAAACGCACAGGGAACCAAGCAACCAGTCCCTTGCTTCGAGAACCAAAATCGTTTGCCCTGCCTGGAACCCAGGAACCTGTGCCGAGGGCGGAGTTTCCATCAATGTCGAACCGACCGGTTGCAACAGACGTGCTTAAGCTACTCATCTATGGCCCACCCGGGATCAAGTGTTCATGGCTGTTGATCGGGGGTCTCCAATTTAAGAGACGGAGTCCTCCAAACTTGTTGAAATATCCTTATGCACCAGGTTCATGAATTCATGCTCGACATATGCTCCAGCCTCAAACCAAACCGCAGTCGTGAGTCCCAAACCCGGTGTAGGTACACATGGAAGGGCACCCAAAACACGGGTAGAATGCAGCGGGGTCTTTGGTTTTCAAAGCCAGAACTCAACCACTCCCAACGAACTTTCAAAAAGGATGACCCAAGGCATTCCAAGCCCGCCAAAAAAAAGGCCAGGCGAGGGCCACTATTTGTTGGTGTCAAGTTGCCAGCCCGCCCCCTTTTTAGGGGATACGCTTTCCGGCCTCTGGCGGCGCGGCTTCTTGGCCCAGCTGGACTCTTTCCACCTGGCCGAAGCTTCGGACCACCCGGGCTCTGCGTTGTTGTTGTTTTTTTTGTGTCCTTCGATCGGGCAACCCGTTTTGGGTGGTTTGGATTGCTATTTGAAGCCCAGGTCCTTTTCAAACCTTTTAAAAAAAAAAGGAAGATCGCCCCCCATTTGGTTTCCAAACCACTAGGGGGAAGCTGACTGCCAGGCACATTGGCGTCGCGGAATGCGTCTTCGTTGTTCTTCTCGGAGTTTCTGCCAGACCCTAAGATGGTACGGTCCTCCGACCTCATCCGAGGCTGACACTACCCTGTTTGGGCTTGGCTTCAGGGGAGAAACCAAAAAAAGGAACTCCGAGATCCAACTTTGGGTACGCCTAGTTTGACATATTGGCAAAGACCCCCCCTCCAGCTTTGGATCTCCTGTGTGTCAGGTCGTGTGCGTGGTCAAAATCCGTCCATTGTTTCGTCATCCGGTCCCCATTTTGGGAAACCTGAAAAGCATGGCTTACGGTGGATGCCCTAAATACAGCAAGTAAACCAAGCGCAAACCATGGGAAAGTTAAAGGGTTTCCTTCCATCTGCCATCCCTTTCAAGGGCACAAATTGCTTCCCGGACCCCGAAACGTCAAGTTCCATCTTCGCAGACGCAAGGTCTTTCTAAGACTATACATACTGTGGATGGGACGAAATCCTACACCACTTGGAAAGCATGGGCAAACATTGTTTTCTTGGTATTTACAGGGGCATCATCATTCCAGGGTTTCTTAAGGGGGGGTTGCTTCTTGGTATTTACAGGGGAATCATCATTCCAGGGTTTCCTATGCGGCGCAGCAATTCGTCCATCCACAGTATGAGTCTGTCAACTTTGAGGGTACCCCTTGCGGTTGGTTTTGAGGGAAATCAAAAGACAAACCGTTGATCCATGTTGGCTCCGCTCCGAGCCACCCATATGCCCCGGGCTTTCCTTTGGCCAAGACCAAGAGCTCAACGTGCCGGCTGCGACTGTGAAGTGCACATTCTTCTGATCCTTGGACAACTCCTGAATCATCCTGGCCATGGCGTTTCGGACAATTAGTCTCCCACTTCCTCGGCAGCCTCGCATTCAGATATACCTCACCTCCACCACCAAGCAACACCCCTCCGCCGGCACCAGGAAGCCAATTCCCCCCTACCCCACCCCACCCACGCAACATGGCCATGCCGCCATTCCACCCCCGTCGGTCTGTCCTCACTACAAACTTGTCGTTCTGAGCATTGCTGTCTCCACCTCGGCAGCCCAAATGGCCGTGGTTTTGTCAAAACCGTTTTGGGAGCGCCCATCTTAGTCTATAAACCAATGGGCAATTTAGAACCTATTTTAGTGGTTGGATTGGGTCCCGTTCACTGGGAGTACGATTTATTGGTGTTGACCACACTCAATGATCTAACCCCACAAATCATTGTTTTATTATTTAAAAAAAAATGCTCAGGTGATATCCCCAACAGCACGCGGTGCTATTGTTAGTGCTCGAACCACCCCGCAGCCCTCGCAGCTGGTGGACCCTCGTGGAACCTTAGTCAGCGCCGCCCCGAACCATCCCGGAGCCTATCTGGGCTGAGACCCCAAAGCTTTCAGCTGTTGGGGAACCTTAAACCTGGCCGTCACCACACCACCCCGAACCTCCGGAACCTTCCTTGGCCTGCACCAGACCACCCGAACCTCCGGAACCTGCCTTGAACCTTAAAGCTGGCCTGCACCTTGCTCGAACCTGACTCCAGAGCTTCCCAAGCCACCCCCAAACCTTATCTGGGCTGAGACCCCTTAGCTTTCAGCTGTTGGGGAAAAACAACAAAACACATTTAAGAAAGAAGAAAAATAATAAACTCCTCCAAGGCGATCCAAGCTGCTGATGCTCACATCATTCACCTCCAGGATGTGGTCGCCTGCCAGGGAAAAAACATCCAACATGACTCAAGCCGTCACATGGCTGTGGGTCAAAAATGGGTACCCTAAATACCTATTTTGGAACCCTGGTAAGTGGCAACATGGACAAAAATGGGTAGCCGAAATGGAACCCTGGAAAAAAAAGTACCCTGAATGCCTATTTTGGAACCCTGGAAAAAGGAAATCAGTACTGAGACCTGCGGTCCCCTAGTGGTTTAATTTTGACCCATACCCACATCTCTCACGAAGCGGCACCGGCCTGGCAGAACCCGGTATGGCATCTGGCTCTGCTTGTTCCAAGCATCCACCTAAGGCCACAAACCTCCGATATTTTGTTGAAAACATCGGCGTCCCTTGATGTTCAAGCGACCAAAAAAAAAAAAACGACACCAAAGGCACGGGGGAAAGAAAAACTTTCAGCTGAGAAGACATCTAGGCGTGGCTAGCTGTCGGCATGAGCTCCCGGAGTTCTTGAGATGCGAGATAGAAAAAGAAGAATCTAGGGGTACCTTCCATTTCCATTCTTTCCAGGGATCCTTCTTTTCAGGAAACCATCACAAACCCAGGGAAACAGCTGGTTTTTGAAAAGAACGATGGTTGAACAGAATGGGGAATCAACCCCTAGAAAGAAAACAAAACACGGCTGAGTGCCCGAACTCTGCCGCCCTCGCTCACCGTGTAGACCAACAGTCCACCTTGCTGAGAGATCCAAACTCATCCTTTCGAATGGGGCATTCAGGGCTCCCTAGATGTTCTCCGAAAACATCACCCCTACCAGGGGAAGGTTCAGTTGAACGGGCAGAAAGGTGATGCCTAAAATCAACAAGGAAGGACCCCAGTGCCAACTATTGAAGTCCAACAAAGGTTTACGCAAAAATTGGCCTGCTGCAACATTGCCACTCTTTCGCAAACCGGCTTCTCCCTGCCCGAACAAGAAGGTACCAGACGCACTGCTAACTTGGGCTTACTGGACAACCTGGTAAAGAATCCGCTTCAGAATTCGACTCCTCTTGCAAACCAGCTAGTTCGTCTTTTGTAGAGTCATCCTCTTCTGTTCTGAAAAACCAAAAGGCAAAAACACGTGCCTCTTCGGCTTAGCTTCTGAAAAGCCACACAGAAACCGGGGCTTCCTTGATTCTGAGCCACAGATGACACCGGGAAAAGAGCCACTGATGCCACCGATGCCACCACAGAGGAGCTCCAAACTCTTTTTCCAAGCCAAGATCCCCGGCAGAAGTTCGTCTCGCGCTTCAAGACCACCTGAGTTCCAACATCAAACAGGGTATCAGCTTCCCTGTTTGGAGCCGAATCGGTGGAGCCGAGTGGGGAAATGGAGGGGTTGCCCAACCCTCCACAAACACCAAGTTGGTTCAATTCCAAATCCAAATCACCAATCTGGACCACCAATTAGGGGATACCTGACGGTAGTAAAATGGTCGATACACAGAACAAACAAAAAAAACTCTGGGCGGATATCCGCACCCGTTTGTGCAAAGGGGAAATTGTCCCTTACTAAACTCCAACTACCTGGGTTTTGATTGTGGCTCGCCTGTGAATTTGGGGGAGAGGCGGGGGGCGAGTCTTATTTTAGGTGACCCCCCAAAATGGCGCAACAGCAAAACCATTGCCAACAGGCATTTTCATACAAAAGAAATCAACACAAATTTGAATTCACCCTTCGGACGTTGGCCCGTCCCGCTTCGCGGTTCACTACTCATTTTGGGTCTCACAAGAAAACAATCTTTCAGACCTCAAGCAGCAGAATCTTCTATGGGCTGCTGTCAAAAATGTGTACCCTTTTTGGGACCGTTTCTGCCGCCGATGCGTGTACCAAAAAGGGCTCCTTTTGAGAAACCATCCTAAGCTGCTTGCAAGTGGAGGCCACAGTTGCCGGGATCTGGTGACCACGTCCCATGAGAAGTTTGCTTTTGCGCGCAAGACCTGTTTAAGGCAGTCGCCAGCGACTGGCTGGTGAAACACCATCTGGCAAGCCCACTGTCAAGATCAGAACCAAACATGAGTTGCCAGACAACATCCATTCATATGTTTGCATTCTCATCTGGCCTTCTCGGCTCATGCAAAGAAATGTCACACAAATCACAAAGTAAAGAGCAAAATTTCAGACCCACGGCATAGGCCGATGCAATCCGTATGGAGCACGGGAGCCAATCAAATCATGCCATGCAATCAAGTGGACAAGAACCGACAAACCCGAGCGAGATACGAGATCATGTTGCTTTGATATGAAATGATCGCAGCCAGATGCATATGAATAACGCTCTTTTATGAGCAACGGCAACAAACCTACACAGAGGCAAAACGTACGTGAGCACAAACATGTGCGCCCCTTCAATGCGTGGTCCAGCCTTGCACTTTCTGCTGTAAAGCCGGGTAGGGCAGCTTATGTGAGCGCTGTCCGCCGTGAACCGTCTGGGTGAATCATGTGGATCCATGAGCAAAAACGGACATGAAGCGCGCGGACGAAGTCCTCGCGGTTGCGCCCGAAAGAACAGCTTGGGGATCCTTCCGGCCTTTTGGGTCTTGCTTGAGGTTGCACCCCGAAAAAATAACTAAAGAGAAACACCCAAGGATACCAACTCAAAAAAGGCCACACCCGCTTGGCCCTTTTTGCCTTCCTCGGTTTGGGTGCTTCTACGTGACTTCGACGCGTTGCGGCCGCAGCGTCTCACGACGCGCCGAGCTGTGGCTCCGCGCATCGATGCCAAGGCGGCCGGGACCCTTCCGGGCCAGGACTACCTGACGCATCCCCGCGGGCAAGCCCGGGGGTCTGAATTTCAATGCGGGACCCTCGGGTGAACGGAACATCATTTCGGTGGGGATTTATGTCCACCAACATTTCGGAGGAGAGGGGTACTCATTAAGACTCATAGCCATCTGCATGGATCTTAAGCTTGCGAGCAGGCGTCCCAACATCAAGATCCAGCAACAAGAACTTATCTTTGGCCAGAGACACCTCCAAGTGAGTTTCATGTAGGTGTCGTGTTCAAACGGACAAGAACTTCAAGAGGGGACCCTGCCATGCATCAACCAGAGCCGTAGGCCCCACATGACATGTGGAAATGTGTACTTGCCATATGCCTATGAATGTCCATGGGAGCCCCTCAACATGCTCGCTGGGCATAAATCCCATTTTAACTGATGCCCGCCAATGCAACGACTCAAAGTGCAAACCACAGGCTTCAAGCCCCACAAAATAAGCCCCTGAGCTCTCTGGACACAGACCGAGCCAGGACCACTAATGGCTGTGGGTCAAAAAATAGGTACCCAAAATGGAACCCTGGTACCTGGAACCAAGGACAAAAAAAAACCTGCGGTCCCCCATACCCAAATGGCGAGGCAATCTTCAGCTGCAGCCAGAGGGAGTCTCGCAATAGAGGATCCCCCCCCACTCTTTACTATCTGAAGGCAAACCAAAAAGGGACCGACCGTATCTAGAGGTTATTTTTTTGCACAACACCCAAATGGCTCCCTTGTGCGAAGAAGGCTGCATGTGAGAAATTCACGGCGCACCTTGAAGCGAAGCGGCCCATTCCTCAGTCGGAAGGGTAAGTCAAGCGCAAGGAAGGAAATAAGTCGAAATGAAAACCCGATAAAGGAGTCTAGCCACAAATGTAAAGAATCAAAAGGCTGGCTGTACCCATTCATGGTTGGCCTACAAACCAACGTTTCCCATGTGTTGATCATGGTTCATCCAGCAAACAGGGATCCGGTTCAAATGAGATCTCAAAGCTTTCCACATCTTAGGTTCCGCATGTCGTCACCTGTGGTGTCTGGTGAAGCATATCGACAGCAACTCGTACTGCAGCAGGTTGCAGAGAGCTCGGCTTCCAGCGATCCACTTTCTTGGATGTCGATGCTCCCAACTAAATCGCCTGCGAGACTCTCTGCTCTCGGCAACCGACTTCTGCGAGTCTCCTTGCAACTCCAAAGTGTCTATCTGTGTGTATCAAAATGTCGGTGTCACAGACCCCGACAAGACTCTTGACACAGACGAATCCTCTCTCAGAGTATTTTGTTGTGCCCAGCTTGGCATATGGTCATGGGTCAAAATCCCGTACACCCAGTGCAATCCCTACTAAAATAGGTTCCAAAATGGGTGGTGCATCTACCCCGAAATGGGATCCCGTTGGCTTTGACAACCACAGCCACATCTCCGGCTTGGCCCAACGAACTCCCAAAGGTTGCGCCTGCATCATCTGGTGCAGCTGCTTCGCGACTCAAAGGCACGACAAGGCCGGGCGGTCCTGCAGTCTTTGGCCTCAGCACGCCACTCAGCAAAGTTGAGTCACAGTCAAAACCTGCTCATCATGTTGGGTTCCCTCTGTTCTGACACATACCTATGTATGGCAAAGCAGCTCTTGGTACTTGAGTGGTCTAATTGCCCGAGCCAATGCAAAGAATCAAGAATCAAAATGGCGTTTCTTAGGTTTTTATTGCGGCTAACATGAGTGAATGACCTAGAATGGTCAAACATCGGATTTTGTGCGCAAATAGCCGAGAATGGTGCAGCAGGAAAACCCTGGAAATATATGGCTGGCGTGTCACAGTGCCTGCGTAACTTGCCGGAGCTCAAGTGGGGAATGAAGGAATGAACCAAGGGGTCCCCTTAAACGAAACCGCGAGACATGGTTTATACGGCTCATTCCCTCATTCCCTACTGAGCATTGCCAAGGTAAAGAAAGCTGGCTTAGCGTGGCGTCTAGCACCACTTCCAGAAACGAAACCAAAGAGGTGCTCTTTGGATTGGGTCTCTGCTCAGTATTCTCTGTCAAACAATCGAAAGTTGGAAGGACCCTCCTTGGATCCACAGACAAATTGGCACCTGGAAATGTAAGCAACAGCATTGGATCAGGCCTTTCTGCATGGCATGGTCCAATTCCCGCCGCGAGGCAACAGGCAATGGGTGTCTCAAATTTCTGGCTCTGTGCCCTCCGCAAGCTTCCCCACACCCATCCCTCTGTGCCCATGTGTCCAAATCATCTGGGCATCCTGTGAGTCGGCGCAACGCATTTCTTGCTTTCTGGCTCAGCCCCCCGCTGAGTATCCAAGTCCTCGCAAAGACATGCGACCGGATGCAGCAAGACTACCAAGAACGCGCACAAGCTGCAGTTTACAGCAATTGTCTGAAGGAAAGCGGCTGTGTCCAGTCACATGCTTGTACATGTTGAGACCCTAAAGACTTGACTCGTCGCCTTCACAATTCCGTTGGAGATGCAAGATTCGGGCAGCGAACGCTGCCCGCCCCCCCCCCCGTCACCCCCCCCCTTTTAGCTTGGCATCACTCGGCATGTATTCCCCAGCTTCCCAATCGAAAACGACATATCTGCGAGTCTTACTGGAATTCCAAAAGCTGACTTAAAGGATCCCCAAGGAAAGGACTCTAGCAGCGGGCCATCCAGACGCATCGCCGCGGCCACGGGGTCTTCTAGGCTCTGGGCCACGCTGACCTGAACTACAGGCAGCAACGCCAGAAGCAGAAGCTGCCAGTCACACGGGCACCCAGGCCGGCAGCAAAACAGTCAGCCTGGGCCCAAAAGATCAGACCGCATTTGGGTCTCACACAAAGTCTTCCACATCGCGCAAAAGCAACACTCTTAGGCGAACAAGTGGCAACCACAGCCTCTGGGCAGCCGTGGTCGCACTTGCACGAAGCTAACCCTGCAATTGTACAACGTGATCGCCCAAGGCGAAAACATCACGCCCGACAGAGAAAGCAAACTGCCGACTCAAGCCCCAACTACTTTGCTTCCTGAGGTCGTCTCTCGCCACTGCCAGTCAGAAGAAAGTCACCGCGCCTAAGTTCCAAGCCACCTTTCTTGGAGTATCACACGTGACCAGGGAGAAAGTGAACTCCCCGACCTCGAGCACCCCTTGAGCTGGCCAGCGGCCATCGCGCGGCAAACCACGACAGGTAAAGTAGCAAAGGTCCGAAAGTGCGTAGACAGCTGGTCGAGGATGCAGTCGGGCAGTGCAAAAATTCTGGAAAGAAGACCAGGATCCGAAGAGGGGGCGTAGCCCATGAAGGTCCACAACAAACACCAACCAACTGCACGAAGCCGAAGAACCACTCCACCGCCGGCAATGAAGCCAGACCGCCACATGGCTGGGGTGCACTTGAGGTGCTTGATGGACGCTGCACCGCCCCGGGGAGGAAGCTAGCGCAGCCCAGGGGCCCCTACTCCCAGAGTCCCACGAAAGGACCTTCATCATGGTGTCCTCGTTTTACCGCAGACATAAACAAAAAAAACGAAAGGGGGGGGGGGGGGGGGGGAAAAAAGCATAGCTGCAAAAATGGATCTTTGTCCATGTCGCACTCCGTGTGTAACAAGCTACAGGCTTGGAATACCCAGCCAGAGCGAGCGACCATTTCCGCACCGGCCTCGTCCTGCTTCGAATTCCTTGGCTAGCCATGAGAATTTGGAAGCATGCCCTCCCCCCCCCGGACTTTCCGACATGCATGAGTCCAAAATGTTTTCCACTCCCAAGCCAACACCCCCAAGGCAAAACAGGGTGTATACCCCTTTCTCATGGTTTGGTCTTTGCTATGAGACGGTTCCAGGGATCTTCTTGCGGTCAACTGGTGCATCCGGGGTCCCCAGCAGGGCAGTAGGAAAGCCAGACATCAACTGCCTCAGCTGACAGTAGGTTCCCGCATGGCCTAACTCCTTCATGGCGCTCGCTCGTAGGAGCGCACGCCCCCCGGACAGCCCCGAGGGGTTGCCAACGCCCTCTTACTTGTGACAGGCGAAAACCTTCCATCGGCTCCCCAGAACCTTGCGGGATCAAAAGGACGGCACTATAAAAGAAAATAACTAGCATGAAATACACCCCAAAAAACAAGATGAAAAAGGAGTGATTGCAAAAGCCGGCCCGGAGGCTTGGGTTGACACCCGCTTTCATGAAATCCACTTGTCGCGCCTGTTCTGCGCCTCCTCAGCCTGCGCCTGACACACAAAGGGCAGGATGGCTTGTGATCTGACCGAAACAGGGGTCACGCAGTACGCTCACTTTGAACTGGGCCAAAGGGCGACATCTTTGCCGTCCAGGAGCACCTGTTTCCCCAATGAACTCGCTGCCCACGTCCACGTGTTGGACCCAACACCAACACTCCGTTCCGGGCCTGCGCCTGCGCACGGGGGGCCGGCAGCGCCTTCGGCGGGTGCCTTGGATCGGAGGCCAGGTCCGTTACGGGAACCACCCACTTGTTTCAGGGCAACCACCCATCCTTGCGGGAATCGCCCTTCAAAAAAGAAGATTCACCGCCCAATTGTTCAGGGCAATCATCCAGTCTTTTGGGATCAACCCTGCGCTTGAAGACGCACTGCTTGCCTTTGGAGAACGAAAGGAAAAAACCCAAAGCGCCCCGAAGAGGCGTCCCTTTTCGTCAACGCCCGGGTCGGCCGAAACGTGACGAAGCTCATGGCCACATCGGAGAGAATCTCTGTCGGGCCAAGGCCGCGGCTGCGGAGCCTTGGGGGTTGACTTCGCCACGGGCGGCCTTGGAAAGTGCCGGACTGAGGAGCCTCGATGCGGATGGCTACAGAACTCCTGGTGCCCGTTGGCTCCCTCTGCAAATTTGAATACCCCCAGCTCCCGAGTCCGGCTCCCTTCCAACCAGCTAGGAATGGAGTTACGAATTGGGAAACCACAGATTCATTCGGATTCAGTGGATTAAGAGACCCCCTAAAGTGAAGTGAATGAGACACCCCCTCTGGAATCAACCAGTAGACATTGACCCTGTGTTCCCATTTGTCCGCTCTGTGCGCGTCAAGCCAAGAAAGGACAGTAGCTGCTGAATTGCTGTTTCCCGTCAAAAGGAACTCCTATGGTTGCATCGCTTCGGCTTCCAGAACTCACCCTCCAACTTCGCGTCAGATCACCAACCATCCGGGCTTGTTGGCTGCCAACAGTTGGCATCCTCTCAAGGAATACAGGCCAAGCCATTGACACCAAGCCAGCGAACCAAACAAATCAGAACCTCAAATGTTCGCCCATTGATATCTGATTCCGCACGCTGATATCCAATTCTTGTAGATACCTGCTCGAGGCTTGTCAATCGGTGCGTGTGGCAAGGGCAATGGGTACTCCAGGTTTCAGTGCCACTTTCCGCCAGTCTGAGTTTGAGGGCGGCTCCTAGCAAGAAACAAACAGATCACTTGGGAGGTCGATATTGGAAGTAAAGAAATCAAAGGCTCAAAAAGCTCTTGGAGGAACGTGCATTGCCATGGCTTCCCTATATCCTTGCAATGGCGCAGAAGCTTTTTCAAGGGTCTTCTGCACCTGACTTGCCGCATTCTGAGACCATGCGCATTCCCCAATCACTCCCAATGGGGTCGCAATGGCGAAAAAGGACAAAACACATACAAACATCTCAATACAGGGGCAAAAGCCACTTGTCCGTGGGCGGCAAACCAGGTAAACCAAAAGTAAATTCTCGGCCCAAAACACCAACGATCAAAGTCCCAGTCCCACCTTTTGCCACCGGCCATTCTCCCTTCCCCCCCCCAAAAAAAAACGGAAAAAAGAAAACGACATCGGCGCACAAGAAGGAAACCTCTTCCACGGGGATTTCCCCCCCAAACCAAAAAAAAGGTAGAAAACAACCTCGGCGCACAAACACGAAAACCTTTTTCCACGGGCATCTCCTCCCCCCCTCCCAGAAAAAAAGAAGCAAGCCCGTGCGCGAAACAGATCTTCAGAACCCCTGCGCTTCGCTTGGGTTCCCCTGCGAGGGGCCGGTGCCTGCCTGGCGCAGCACCGCCTCAGATCGATCTTTGCCCCCATCCGCGAGAGAAACCAGCCGAAAATTGGAATTGGGCTGTGGGTCAAGAGCCAAATCGTACCCCCAGTGAACGGGACCCAATCCAACTACCAAAATTTACTAAAATGGGTGGTGCACCTAACCCAACATGGTACCATTGGTTTTGAACCATGGCCAATTGGAATTTATTTGTTTCTGGGGTTGTCAATCAGGACGTCTTATTTTGGAGCTGGTGGGAAACGTTGGTCTTTTTCTGGGGTTGTCAATCAGCTCGTCTTTTTTGGTGGGTTTTAAAAGGGACGCCAACAGGAAAGAACCACCATTTTGGGGGTACCAAAACGCTGTCCTGCTGTATCTTACCTAAACCCTGGTGCATATGTTGCATTCCGTTGTTTTTCTCTCTTTTGTTGGGGGGGGTCCAACATGTTGTTTGTGACCTTGACACGTTCACTCGGGGGTTCCCATTCTTCAAAACCCCAATGTTCGTTTTTGGTCTTTCTCCTAAAGGGTCATTGTGCTGACCATGTCTGGTGGTCATCAAACTTTTGATCTGCCACTTGTGAGGTGACTTGGATGCCTTCAGAATGAATGGGGCCAGTCCTTTCTGGGGTTTTGATCGAAGGGTTCTGACGGAATCTTCCTACAAGACGTCGTCTGGGGAGCCGTACGAGTCGGATGTTCCGACGGCTTTGCAGCTCCTCGAGTCCACAAGCCGCAGTTCTTTTGGACCGCCAAGAACGAGGATTTTCCTTGTGGTATCCCATGTTTTCCCTTTAAAACCACCAGAAAAGGGGTACCCCCCAAGAACCGCACGGACAACACCAGAAAATGACCCAATCAGAAACCCCTACATGCCAGCAGAGGCTTCTGAAGTGAAGGACACCCTGCCCGGCTATCAACAAGCGTCCCTTGAGGGAACCCACTGGAAGCCACATACTTCTCTTGACAGCCCCTTCCGTTTCCCATGGTTTCCCTTTAAAACCGTCGGGAAAAGGGGTACCAAAAAAAAAAAACTATTTGACAACCCCAGAAAAAAAGGACCCAAAAGGGTCCTCCTTACTTCATGCACCCCTGGTGCCCCGGCCTCCATCATTTTCGCATGGTCGCCATGAGCATCGAACACCCGCGTAATCGCCTCAAGATGCCGCTGTGGTTCATGGGATCCCGAGCCTTCGGTGCACATCATCTTCATGGGGGATGTGGGGACTTTTGCTTTTCCACCGCGGAGGGATTTTTTGGTGCATTGAATTGTATCACTGGAGGATCAGCTCGGACTTTGGTGAAGGGCTTGGCAATTCTTACCGCTTCCTTTTGGCTTCCCTGTTGGCCAAACCGCTTGCCCCAAGGGCTTGGCTTCTCCCAATTCGTGCAGGCAACGTCGGCTTCTGGGGCGCAAGCATCGCCGCTGCGTACTTGGAAAGCCGGACAAACAGACCTCGGCCGGTGCGAGCAGCTTCTGAGTGCCCTTAAGGTTCCTTCCTGGCCTGGTGCCCCCTTAGGGGTACCCCGCAAATGTTGGTTTTCCTCTTGGTTTCCCTTGAAAAGAATTACTCCGCAAAAAGGTGCCGTAAATTTGGCCCCTTCCCCCCACCCACCCACCCACCCCCCACCCACCCACCCACCCACCCCGCCCGAGTCTGTTGCAGGGGCCGCAAAGAAACTGAGCGCGCAGCTTATTCCAAGCATCCACAGCGCCACCTTCTGAAACATCGTTCACCTGGGTCAACACAAATATGAGGCCAGGGCCAGTGCTGGGCCCACCCGATTGATGTCGCTAAAGACTAAAGTGTTAAACACTGTGAGCAAGGACATGAATTCGCCAACCATCTTGAAATCCTGCTTGATCAATCAACTTCCCCCCAAATTGGTGCTTTGGTTTGGTGGACGTTACCTACCTTCGCGGTTCAAAAGCAACTGGGGTACAAACATCCCAAACCAATCCAAACCACTAACTAAAGAAAGCTGAATCAAATAAACGCCAACCATCAGGCCTGCGCAGGCCGACGGCACACGATGGCACATGCGGATCCAAGGCCACTGCCCAGAGGGCGGCCGTGTCGTGCATCGTCACCGGAAGCACGCTGAGCCCGAGCCTCGAGTTCTCCGGGAGAGGCACTGAACTCCCCTAGAGTTTCATCAAAATCGGAACCCGGGTATAGGCGGTATAGGGTCAAAATCGAACCACGGAATGGGACCGAAGGTTTGAGTTCTTCCAATCGCCACAGCGCTTGCCCGTTTTGGGGTGGCCCCATGTTTGACAACCACACCCGTGTACAGAAGCGAAAGGCCAGCATCTATTGGTTGCGTGTCCAAAAAACGCGGCCGCCCCAACGCCAGGGAAAGTTCTGGTTTTGTTGCGGGTTCCTACTGTGGATAAACGAAATCTATTTCGCGCCACTTTAAAACCATGATTAAAAAACCATAACGTTTGTTACTTACAGGGGGAACCGACTCATTGCGTTTGTGTTTCTGAACGGTGCCGCGAAAAGAGGAAATTTCGCGGCCATCCGCAGCAGTGTGAACCCCGGATCTAAGTAGAACCCCTGGTTGATTTTGATTGGGGGGTGTCCCCTTTTAATGGGGGATTCATCACTCTTGGAGAGAACACCGCTCCCCTAATAATGGCACGGGATTCCGCCGGGATCATCAATTTTGCAGGGAACACCCCCCCCTAAAAAATGGGACGGGATTCTTGATCCTGGACCAACCCGGATGAATAAACCCCTGGTTGATTTTGATTGGGGGGTGTTTCCTGGGTCAACATTCGCAGGCAGTTGGGGCCTTCGGGGGGTGCCACGGTGCCGCTTCGGACTCGGCGCAACAAAAGTCGCCCGCCTCATGCCTTCAGCTCGCTGCAAGAAGACCTGGAGCATTTTTTTCGGTGGAGCCAGGGAGGTGGCTGTGGGTCTCTTAACAGGGTACCCCATATATTTGAACCCTGTTTAGTGGAACACATGGACTAAAACCTGTAGTCCAATTCAATTCCTTCTGGTTTGATTTTGACCCATATCCAGGTGTTTTGGCTGGGGCTGGCCCTCTCGGGAAGGCAAAATGGAGTTCGGGCCCCTTTTTTGAGTTGTTTGTTTGACAGGAAGCCGTTAAAAGGAAACCAACCAATTTCGGGCGCCGATCCTCTATTTTGAGAAACAACATGGGTCATGGGTCCCCTCTCCCAGCCCTACCTCGAAGGTGAAGCTGCTGTTCTGATCCAGCTGGTTGGGAACCTCGCCATGTGACTGGCTGTGTGCACACAGTAAAGGAGTCTTGAGAGAACCCAAAACAGGGCTCCTCTGCAAAACACAAGCAAACAAGGAAACGAGCAAACAAGCAAGCCAGCAAGCAAGCAAGCAAGCAAACAAGGAAACCAAGCAAACAAACAAGGAAACGAGCAAACAAGCAAGCAAGCAACAAACAAGCAAACAAGGAAACCAAGCAAACAAACAAGGAAACGAGCAAACCAGCAAGCAAGCAAGCAAACAAGGAAACGAGCAAACAAGCAAGCAAGCAAACAAGGAAACAAGCAAACAAGCAAGCGAGCAAACAAGGAAACGAGCCTTCCAGATCGAGGCTTCCCCTCGCCTCATCCTTCGGCTTTTGCGCGTGCGGCTGCTGCTGATGGGTCATGGACTGGACGTTGCGCATGAGCGACTGCTGGGATATCTGCGCAAGGGACACGGCTAGCAGCAGAATGCAATTGACAAATGGTGGAAGGCAAGGTTGATCGTCGCAGTCTTCACATTGTCTCAAAACAGAAAAACCCCACTTTTGCCCTGCATCTAAGACAACCAACCAAGGGAACCCCCAAAAAAAGCAACGACACACCCACATTTCACTACTTATCTCAAGTCTCTCGCGAGGGGGGACTTGGATGTCCAGCCTCCTCTTCTCGGTCAACCGATGTCAAACCGCGGAGCTGCGCGTGTGACCAGCCCTTGACCCCAGCTGATGACCCCCCGGTCCGGGCCCCAAAACCCGACTTCGAAAGCGGTGCCGAAAACCCTCATGGCAAAGAAACAAGACGGACACCCGCACCTATTCTCATGGGCATGGTCCACTAACTTCATCTGCCCGAAGCAGTTTTGATTGAGGCTCGGACCCTGCCTGCCATAACGAAACAACAAATGTGGCCTTTACAAAACCTCACCGCATCCAACCGCGAAAACCAGATGTTTGCGGTAAATTACTTGCAATGTTTGGGGCATCCACCGCATTTTGTGGGGATTCTGTCGCGGCTACATGAGTGCATATCTGGTTCAGCCTAGCAGACATGCACTTTGTCCCGTCCGCAGGAACACTCAAAACGCACCGCTTTCTTTCTAGAATCGCAAAAAAAATGTGTCACAAGAAAGCGTTTATGCATCTCGCTGTCTTGCGGTTCCACTCGGCTCTCTTTCGGCTTGGCTCAAACAACCCAAAAGCAGGGCCGCAGGGCTCCTAAAAGCTGAGCTTCCGGCCGGGTTGGCGTCGGGCCTCGCATCGTTTCCAGTCAACCTGATTGACACTTGGGTGTCGTTTTTTGTTGGTTGGGAAAACCAACAACCCATGTTGGATGTACCATTGTTGGAGGCTTGGTGCCAATCGGTCCAAGTTTCTCCCTAAACCCTAAACCCTAAGCCCCGAAACACTAAACCCTGGACCCTGAAGGCATTCTGAATCAAGTACTTGCAGGCTATAGCCTGGATTGAGACAAGGCTTCCAACCTGGGCCTTGGATCTCGTTTTTGGGCGCCCCGGCTGGGGCGTTCGCCCTGCGAGTTTCGAGAGCGGGCAGCATCCCACAACTTGCTGGTTTGACAGGCAGGGAACGAGGCACCCCTACAAACAATCTTGCTATTCCCGAGAGAATCCCACCAAAGTTGAGGTACCCTTCCCACTAACGTGAAACCTGACTCAGGGGTGCTGGAAGACTCTTTTCCTGTAAAGTTGACCACCTTGGGGATTCCGAGTTGGTGGACAAGGGGGTAGCCGAAAATAAGAAAGAAAAATGAACAAGAAAAACGCCTGACACCCCCACCCCCCGCCCTGAGGCTGCAAATGAAGGTCCGAAGTGCCCCGGGAAATGAACTTCGGTCGCGAATATGGATCTATTCCGATGAAGGGTGCCAAATATGTAATGAGGACGCAGAAGACCAAAGTTTCTCAGTACCACAAGTCAGCTGTGGAGACTGCTGGGCTATGCAAAGTCTCTACTTACACCAGGCTTGCGCCACATGGCAAACGGTGGATCTGTTGGAAACACCCCGTACGAGAGGGTCTGACGCGTCGCGTTCCCGCCTGAGGCCTGCCCAGCAGCCGAACCTGCGGCGAGAAGTCCCCTTTGGGTCGGTGTTTTTTTGGGGGGGAGTTGGGCATACCTCCAAGAGCAATCCCAAACTTTTGGGCACCACACATATTCTCTCTCCAAAGAAGTCAAAGCTCTGGGGAAAGGCAGAATTCCAACAGAACTGCGTCAACGCATGGAATCAAAATTGTGGAGCGCAACTCATATGGCTTTACCTTGGGCCTTTTGACACCCCAGCCAGCAGCATCCCATTCGACTGAAGGCGCGCCTCCCTGCATGCCTTCAGCCTCATCCTGCAAGCGTTGGCATGTTGTTTTTCCCCCAACAGCTGAAGCCATAGGATCTCTGCCCAAATTTAGTCCGGGGTGGTCTGCGGCGGCTCTGAGGTCAGGGTTCCGAAGAGGGTTCCGAAAAAGGTTCGGGGGCTGTGGGGCTGTGGGGGATATCACCTGCACTTATTGTTGTTTGTTCGGTGGGGAAACCAGTTTTCAAAACAAACAATGGGGGTCCTATCACATGGAGCGGTTCGGGTTTCGGTCAAACCTGCCGAACCCAAACCCAAGGCTCCAGATCAGTATCCTTGTGGCAAAACGGATGGCACTGGTAAACTCAAAGCGCCAAACTGAAACCCAAGGCCGAAAAAAGTACCCCTAGTGACCTAGAGTGGATGGACAAAATCCTGCACCAAATTGAAACCATGGTTGAAGCCGTTGTTTGTCGGTATTTACAGGGAGAATCATCATTCCAGGTTTTCTTAGGTGGTGCGAAAACGGATTTCGTCCATCCACATCCATCCACAGATTCGTTCAATGACCCCTGTGTTTGACTGCGGCACCTCCACGCCCATCATTTGCTGTACCTGCACAGAGCATGCGGCAGACAACTACAGGCCTCAGAAAAAGATCGGTGCTGTGGCTCAAAAGTGTCCCCTAACCCCCCAGCTTTGCGGGAAAAGAGGCAAAAAAGCTGCGGAATTGTCCCTTTCGCTTACTTTTGGCCACACTTCCATCCAGGAAACCTGACAAACTGGGGCAACCTGCCCAAGTAGACAAACACACACACAAACACACACACACACACACACAAACACAAACACACAAACACACAAACACACAAACACACAAACACACGAACACACGAACACACAAACACACACAAACACACACAAACACACACAAACACACACAAACACACACAAACACACAAACACACAAACACACAAACACGCAAACACGCAAACACGCAAACACGCAAACACCCAAACACACAAACACCCAAACACACAAACACACAAACACACGAACACACAAACACACGAACACACGAACACACAAACACACAAACACACAAACACACAAACACACAAACGCACAAACACACAAACACGCAAACACGCAAACACGCAAACACGCAAACACGCAAACACGCAAACACGCAAACACGCAAACAAACACGCAAACACGCAAACACGCAAACACGCAAACACGCAAACACACAAACACACAAACACACAAACACACCAACACACAAACACACAAACACACAAACACACAAACACACAAACACACAAACACACAAACACACAAACACACAAACACACAAACACACAAACACACAAACACACAAACACACAAACACACAAACACACAAACACACACAAACACACACACACACACACACACACACACACACACACACACACACACACACACACACACACACACACACAAACACCCACACACCCACACACCCACACACCCACACACCCA